CCCCCCCCCAACGTGGCTGGGACAGTGGCCTGGAGCTGGCGCTCTGCGCGTGCGGCTGGTGTCCGGCTCGGCTGGGCCGCCCGCCCTGTCTGTGACAGCCTGGCTGCAGCTTCCAGACATCACCTCAGAGCCCGCCTCCCGCTTCCCGGGGCTGCTCATCGTGAGCAGGGAGTCACCTACACCTGTCTGGGGTCTGTTTGTGTTTCCAGACGGCCACCCTGCAGGAGCAGCTGCCCACACGCACTCCCCACCCAGAGGGACGGCCGCTGAGCTGTCCTAAAGTCACCTCCTGCAGTACCCGCCCAGCCCCGCCCACGCCCCAGGGTTCCACCACTACCTCCCTGCCGACCCAGGCCTGTACCCTTCTCAGCCCTGGTGACAGGCCCAACTCTCTGCCAGCCTCACCCACTGGCCCCGCCAGAGCCCCACAGCCCCGGCGGGTGCCCAGGAGCACAGGTCTCCCCTTCTTGGCCCTGAGCTGTGCTGGGGCCAGGACAGTGGCCTCACTTGCAGGCCCACGGCCCACAGGCTGGGGCTCCGAGGAGGGGACCCCAGCACATCCCACGTAGCCCACAGGGACGTGGAGCCACAGCGGCCCACAGGGCTGCTGTACCTCCCCTGGCCTCCACTCCCACGCGCACACACACACTGCAGACACATGTACCTGTGCCCAGACACACACCACACCCACCCCTCCGCCAAACACACATACACCCACGCACACAGCATCCCCATATATTAACCACAGATGAGAGGGCACCCTGGGCACAGCCCCCCGGGGCTGTCCCACATTCCCGTGGGGCAGACCACAAAGTCATAAAGGGCAGAGCTGGGCCCCAGCCCTCCAATTCCTTCCCACCCATCAGCTCCCCGGCACCTGGTAGATTGGAGGCTCAGGCGCTGTCAGGTAGGGAGGGTGCAGGCATAGGCTGCCCGGCCACAGGGCCCCTGCACCAGCCTCCCCCGCAGCCTGATTTATGGAGCCACCTGGGAGCCTGGCCAAGGCTGTAAGTCATGGGGGATAGGGAGCTGCTCTCCAGCCCTTGGCCCAGCCCCAGCCCCCTGGGCCACAGACTGGGCCTTGTCCCCCCAGGCAGGAGCAGATCCCTGCCATTTTCCACTTATGTCCTCCTCCGGTGGCCTCAGACACCAAGTCCTGCCGTGACATCTTGGGGCTCTGAGGAGGGCCAGGCGGGCCCAGGCCAGAGGGGAGGGCAGGATGGGAGGGACCCTTAACTCCCACAAGATACCTCATGACCAGCAAGAGAGGGGCCCCAACACATGCACCCGAGCCCCATGCTGCGGAGCCCTGGGTCCCACATCCTGGAAGGGGGATCTCAGTCCCCAGGGCCGCCTCCCCTGGCTGCAGGCTCCGCGGAGAACTTGCTTTCCCGCCTGGCCCAGAAGAGGACCAGGAATTTGGGGTGCTTGAGAGGGCAGGTGGCTCTGTGTGTCCCAGAGCCAGCACGGGGCTGTGGGGCAGAGCTTGTCTGATGGCGGAGGCACTCAGAGCCGCCTGGGGTGGCCAGGCGGGGGCTCCCACGCGGGGAGCTGCCGGGGCCAGACAGCGCAGAGGCCTCCAAGTGGCGGACGTCACTTGCATGTGAACGGCCACTGCGCAGGCCAGGCTGCGAGGGAGGCCGCTCAGATCTGAGCTGCAGCCTCATGGTCAGTGCTCCGCTGTGTCTCTCTCGCAGTTTCTGGGGTGTAGTTGTGGGCGGCAAACTTGCACTGAAAACCAGCTGCCGTGTGGCCGACACTGGAGTGGGAGTGGGGGTCAGCAGGCCCGCCTGTGCCCCCAGGGCTCTGGTACTAGAAGGGACAGCGCGTGTGAGACATGAGGGGAGAGGGAGCGCCTGCACAGGCAGCGCTGGGAGCCTGGGTTAAACCGAGAGGCAGAAGCGGTAGCCTTGCAGCAGGGACGCGGGGGTCCGAAGGGTGCCACCTTCCCCCTGGCCGAGCCCCTTCTGAGTGGGAAGAGGTGAACGCAGACCTTCCTGGGCCTGGCCCAGCTCAGATGGCCTTGTCCCTCCTACCCCAGGGCCCAGGGTCACCACCCCGTCACATGTGCCCCGTGCCACACGCCCCAGGGCTGGCTTGGGCAGCATACTTGGGGCCGCACAAATGCAGGGAAGCATTATAAACAAAAGACAAAACAGTCTATTGTAGCGCTCTCCTCGCTCCCCAGCCAGCAGGAGGCTGGCTGGGCCTGCGCCAAGACGGCCCGGAGCGCGCCCGCGGAGGTGTTTTCGTCTGAGGCCAGCCGGCCCGCACTGCGCCGTGGCCTTTGTCGAGACTGTGCTTGAAGCTTCCTGTCTCTGTTATTCTCCTCTCCAGGAAGACATCTGAAACCCAAAACTTTTATTGCCCTTTTAAATGGCCTTTACGGCTCCCCGTTGGCTTCCGAGCAGCCCAACCTGCTCGGTCCTGCTCTGCTGGGACTGTAGTTAGGGGCAGCCACTGCACCCCGGTCTTGCTGGCCGCAGGGTCTTGGCCAGGGAGGGTCAGAGTCAGGAGGAGCTGCAGGAGGGGGTGCCAGCTGGGACCCAGTGCCGTCCTCGCTGGCCAGCGCTCCGGTAGTGGCCGCAGGGGGTCTGTGCCCCACACAGCTGCCCACCTACCCACCAGCCGGGCTGGGCCTCCTGGACCCTCTCAGACATCTGTCCTCCTTTTCCCGCCCTTTGAACAGGGCAGCAGCTTCTCCCTGTGGCAACCCTCGTGGTCCCTCCGGTGAGTGGAAGTGTTACGAAACTGCAGAAGAAAAGACGTAGGATGTAAGGTGGGGTTCAGGGCAGTCCGAGGCAAAGGCTCAGGACTGAGAGGCCTGGATGCCAGTGGCCCCTCGCCGCCCAGCAGCTCCACCTCCTCTCAGCCTCAGTTTCCCTGTCTGTGACAGTACCACTTTGTGTGACCCATGTCAAGACTAAGTGATTAGATGGTTTCGTGCCTCAGCACTGTATTTTTAAAATGACATTGAAGTGGTGGTCGCTCCTGCTTACGTGAAAAGGAGTTTGGGGAATTTAGAGGATGCTGGCACGGGGGCGGCACCTCTAGGGCACCAGCACCTCCAAGGTGCCCAGGTGCATCACACCAGCACCCAAGAGTGGAGGCTGCAGAGGGGAGCCAGGCAGACGGCTGAGAAGGGGAAGTTTGACACTGAAACAAACAGAGCAAAGTGGGCCGGTTCGGCGTCCCAACCCCTGCCCAGATGGTGCCCAGATGGTGCCCAGATGGTGCCGAGCCCGGCTGGGCCCTGTGCTCTGACTTCCTGCACGCCGCCCAGGCACCCAGGGAGACAGCCAGCTGCGGCCAGGCCTCTGTGGCTGGCTTTGGCCTCCACCTGGCGTGGCTCCCGTCAGTCTGGGGCAGTGGTCACCTGAAGCCACAGATGCAGCAGAAAGGTGGCCTCCTCCCCGCCCCCAGGAGCTGCAGACAGAGCAGCAGGCAGGCCGCACACCATGGCCTCGTGTGGGGCAGGGCTGACGGGTGGGTCCCCCGCACGCCCCATGCTGCACACTCCACCTGACCACGCGGCACCTCACGTGGCAGCCTCCACATGGCAGCCATGTTCACAGCCAGCCCAGAGTCGGGAGGGGCAGAGGGGACAGCTGTCCAGGGAGAAACCATCCAGAGCTGCGAGCAGGCCAGGTGCAAGGGCCTGAGCACATGGGGTGGGATCCAGCCACCAGGAAGTAGGGGCAGCCTGAGAGCCCAGGAAGGAGCCAGAACCAGAGCCTGAGACAGGGCTGTGTGGGGCCTTGTCTCATCCGGGCTGTTGCCATTCCTGCCGCCTTGCGGAGCCCCGTGAGGACCCTGAGAGGCGCACCCACATAGCAGCCCTTGGCCAGGCCCTTGCCCTGGGGCAGCGCCCAGCAGGGAGGGGTGCCGGCAACTGGTCACCGAGACTCTTGGGTAGCTACTGCCTTGGTGAAGTGTAGAGCCAAGGCCACCCTGTTCCCTGGGCCCCGCACTCCTCTGTGGCAGCAGGCCAGGGGCCATGTACAATGCTGCTCATTCAGCCCACTGGCCAGGTGTGGCAGACACAGAGGCTGGGGTGGGGAGGGTGGGTTCGGCCACTCCTGGCCCCCTGACAAGTCTATACTCAGCAAAGAAGAGCTGGTGGCCACAGGGGCTCACCTCGGCCCTTGCTGAGCTGTGCCCAAGCCTGGAGCCAGGAGCAACTGTGACACGTCCACCCAGGGCTGCCCACGAGTGACCCCACAAGGCTCTTGGCCACCAACAGGTCAATGTAGGGAAGGTGCCCACCCCACCTTGCAGGGACCTCTTCTGACTGTGGCTTCCTGTGTGCTGGGCCAGTAGAGGATGTGGCCCCTGTGTCCAGGCCGCCAGCACAGTGTGGCTCAGTGGTCTCATCAAGGACCAGGGGCCGGAAGTACTCCCTACCCACCACCACATACACTGGGGGACAGTGGCTCCGTGGCCGGCTGGGAGCCCTTTGGCACAGAGCTGCCAGCGGACAGCCTTGAGTGCCCTAACTTCAGGGCCAGACAGGAGCAGTAGAGGAGGACAGAGACCAGCACGGGCACAGGGCAGCCCTTCCCATCCCTGCCCTGCCTGTCCTGCCTTTTCCTCTTTCCTTCTCTTCCTCTCCTCCAGGGAACCCGGGCCTCCTCCACCCGGCTGACTTGTTTTCCTCACCCCCCAGCTGCGGTGAGAGCTGCTGGCCGAGGGGCCCAGTGGGAGCCAGGCTCTCCGGTGCCCACCTCTGGAAGCGGTCTGAGCAGAGCCCCACCCCACCCCCAGTGGCAGGCCTGCAGCTGGGCAGCATCTCTGCCAGCTGGGCTCTGAGAGC